AAAAATAAATAAATTCGTCTCTGACGGTTAATAAAATTACACTAAATGATATATCAATGGTAGCCACGTGGTAAATTAATGTTTTAAAAATTCGTCTTGTTGCCTTTATTTAATTAAATAATATATAAGAATTGTTTGTTTGTTTTAGTTAAATCCGGCACGCTATATAACAACAACAACAACAACAACAACCTCATTGATACCTGATTTCTTCTTCTTCTTCATTAGAATTTTTAAACGTTAGCAAATTTTTTTTTTTGCTGTTGGAAAAGCAAAATAAATAACGTTCAGGCACTTTATATAAAATGCATAATGATAATGGTAATAATAATAATATTAGTTGCCATACGTTTACGTTTTTATTATTATTATTATTATTCGTTTATTTTTTTATTCCTTTCATTTCTCTAATTATTTCTCCTAGGATTTCGCATTTTAAACGATTTTAATTGACTTTTAAAATCAAATTTTATTTTATTTTTCTAGTTTTTATACTCGATCGATCATTTTCACTCGTATTATGAACGTAAACAAACAGAAACAAACAGAAACAAACGATTTCTACAAACGTGTAATGTAAACATCCCTCACTCGACATTAAAATAAAATAAAAACTTTATATATTTATATTTTTTTAAAATTATTCGTACACAAAAAAAATTAATCAGAGACTTATAGATTTTTTTTTGTTTACTAACAAACAAACAGACAAATGAACAAACGAACAAACGATTAAAAATAATTTAAAAAATAAAATAAAAAATTAAACAACGGAAAAAAAATGTATTGAAAAAAAATTTCTTTCTTTTTTTTTTTTTTAAGCTTAAATTTATAATAAATACAATTTTTTTTTATTTTTATTAATTAAATTAATTATTCGTAATAATAATAATAATAATAATAATAATAATAATAATATTAATGTTAATAATTAAATTACTTTTAATATTTATTATTTATTTATTTTTTTTAAATATGTATCATCGAGTTTTCCTTTTTTTTTTTTTCAAATTAATAATTTTAATTATATATTTATATATATATATATATATTTATTTATTAACGCTATTTACATTTAGAATGCATTGTTTTGAATAATAATTTTTTTTCTTTTATTTATTTATTATTATTATTATCGTCATTATTATTATTTTCGTCAACGGAAATCACGTTTTTTTTTCCAAACGTCTTATTCTGGTTTTCAACCGCGTCGCCAATGACGAAATTTTTCCTTTTACAAAAAAAAATTTTAATAAAACAAAAAAAACAATAATAATAATAATAAATTACTAAAATAATAATAATAATAATAATAATAAATACTTAAATTTGTATTAATAAATTAATAAATAAAAGAAAAAAATATTCCTCTCTGATGCATGAGCAAACTCGAAAGTTTTTCTTTTTTCTTTCCTTTTTTCAAATCGTGTTAATTTGATAATGATGATGATGATAATAATAATAATAATAATAATAATAATAATAATAAAACAATAAGTAAATATAAACATCGAAGATGACAAACGAAAAAAAAGAAAAATAATAATCGATAAAATTAATATCATTTTATACATTTGAGCTTTTTTCTATTTAATAAAATTCTTAATAAAATATTAATAATAATAACGAGTGAATGAATGAATGAATAAAAATAAAAACTTATGTAAGTGAAAGGTTTCTTTTTTTTAAAAATTGCATCAGAGAATATATTCATTCAAATAATAAATAAATAAAATTTTTTAAATAATAAATTAATGCAACGTAACAAATAAATAAATAAACAGTTTGAAATTTATCATATTCATTATTATTATTATTATTATTATTATTATTATTAATAAATTTTTAATAAAAACTTCTTAAAAACTAATTTATTAATGTATGTATATATATATATATATATATATATATATATATATATATATATATATATATATTTACTTATATAGGCAGTGGCATTATGAGGGTAAACTTATTTATTTATTAATTTTTTATTTAACCCATAATAACTCTATATATATATATATAAAGACTTATTTACTTTTTGATGTTAACATTTTGTTTTTTTTTTGTTAATTAATAAATTTAAACTACGATGTATTAATTAATTAATTAATTAATTTATTTATTTATTAATTGATTATTAACCGTAAATCTATTTTCGTAAATAATAATAAATTTGTATTTGTTATCGCTTATTAAAAAAATAAGCGAAGCATTTTTTTAAATAATTTTTTTTTTTTTTAATAATAAAAATAAAAACGTGACGCATTATTATTATTGTTGTTGTTTCATAAATACAATTTTTAAATAAATAAATAAATTATAATAATAATAATTGAAAATGTTAATAACAATTTAAACAAATTAAATAAATAAATAAACGAAAATTAGTGAAATTGAATTTTTTCTTCTTTACTTGTCGTTTTTAAAAATTTTAATAATTTATTTATTATAGTCTTATTAATTTCATTTTAATAATAATAATATTAATATTTTTATTTATAATTTATGTATTTTATTAAAATCGTTCGAGGTAAACAAACTGCACTTAATGTATATATAATTTAATATAAACGTGATAATAGATACATTTTATTTTTTTTTAAATAC